TAAAAGATGTTTACTTGCTACATTAGGACGTGATGCTGACAAATTGTTTTAATGGATGTAAAGCTTTGAAACTACGGTCATTATCTGATCCTTCCCATAATTTCCCACAGATGTGAAAGTCTAAATAGAATTTTAAAAAATTAAAAGTTTTATTTAAACGCCATAATTTTGCACAACTTTGAAAATTTTAAAATCAATAAACATTCATAAAATTCATCAAAATTATATTAAAAAGTCACATTCTGACAAGTATAGCTATTGAAACAACACGCCAGAATTCATATCTAGTATTTGGCTTGCAATTTGCCTGACTCTTACCCAACCTTTGCCAAAAAACAAACAAAAAAAGCCTTCTTTTTTTCTGGTTCTAAATCTAAGAGGAAACAGGCCATGAATTGTTGAGACTACACAAGACTAATTGCTTTTGCCCTAACAAACAACTCAAGATCACATTTTCTTTCTAGTGAGATAGCACTGTTCCTATATCCTCTCAATGCAAGACTAGAATTAAATGCAAGACCGGAGACAAAAATCAGAGGTTTTCTTCAGAGAATTCTGGATTCCTTTTCGGGACAGGGGCTGAGTTAAGTATTTGGTTGTTTGAAGCAGTGCAGTAAATGAGTTTAATGATTTGTTCTTGTGGCTGAGGATCTCGGTAAGGTCTGAATAGTGCTATCAAATTTACAGACCCCAAAATCTGGGCATACAGTGCACACCCAAGTTTCTGTTGACCAAAGCCTTCCTTGTGCACGAGACGTGTCATACATTTAACTGCCCAATATACACATACAAGGGATGTGTCTGTGCAAGTTAGTTATTAATCGCAGAGCAACATTTCAATAGTACATAGGTCTAGTTTCCGTTTCTGTGGTCCATTCACTCCTCAGCCACTCTTCTGCTGGCTCACTAGAGATACCGGGTTTTGTGACTCATCTTACTTCACAGCGACAAGGCAGACATGTCGGATGCAGGAAGGTGAATGTGTGGCTGATTCACTGTCCAGCTAAATGAGCCAGGCTAAGGCAAAAGGAACGGGACATGGGGGCGGACAGTGGCCAGGCTCCGTGCTAGCGCCCCAGTCACGCCAGCGAGGGTCCCCGTTTCCACCCCGCCACTGCTGCACGTGGCCCTTACCCAAGCCGGCGAGCCTCTTCGTCAGCCCCGCGTTCCTTATGGCGGCGGGGCCGCGGTCCACCCCCCTCCGCCTCTGTAAGACAAAGGGGCTCCATTAGGATCCCGGTGGGGCGGGGCTTGGCGCTCACAGAAAGGGACTGAGCCGCAGCAACCACGCGGAGCGGCGACCCGGGGAAGGGCATTTGCCTTCCCCACCGATCCTCGCCCCCAGCTGGAGCTGCACGTGGGAGCGGCGTGTGCCAGGGCCCGCCGCCGGGGTCCCCCCTCCCGGAAACCCGCTGGGACAGCGAGACAATGCGGCTACAGCACATGCTCCCGAGCCTCCAGGGATGCGCGACAAGGAGTCTCCCCGAGCCCGTCTGCACGGGGCCGGAACACGCTCATCCCCCTAAACCACCCCGTGTGGGCCAGGGGGCGCTGCCTCCCCCCGCGATGCTCACCTGCCCCCTGGCGAACGGGGCCCCGATCAGCGCCACGGAGTGGGCAGGTTTCGGGAGCTGCAGCGCGGAGTCCGCCTGTTTCCGCAGGAGCCGGGCGAAGCTGCTGCGCAGAGACATGATGCTGCAGAACCGCTCGCTGCAGCCGCCGCCGCTTTTAACCTGCAGCGCCGCTACCTCCCCTCGCCAGCGCGCGGGCCAGACACCG